TGCGTGACACAGATGTTCACACAACTGCACTCAGATCCTCACTCTCTGAGCAGAGCGGAAACACCCTGCAGCCTCCCAGCTGAACTGCACCCTCGAGCCAAGCACCCCCAGTTTGGGAGAATTTGGCTGAATGCAGCAGGCTCTGCAGGGAGGCATAGTACAGGAGGATACTTGGGCAGCTGAAGCCACTTCTTTGCAGCTGGAGGCAGGCTGCTTCCTCGGCTGGGTCTGTCCCAAAGTGGGAACTTGAAACAAAAGTCATGCTCACAGCAGAAGTTCAAACGTAGTCAAAGGAGTCTTCTAACCCCTTCCCTAACACCACAGGACAAGGTGTTCCTTCAAGGCAGGGGGAGGGCCTGCCCCATGAAGGGCAGTATCTCTGAGGAGCAGGCCAGCTGCCTGCTTACTTACACTGGGGTACTCGCTCTTCACAGGGAGTTTATTCAGGTAGCTGTAAGAACGGCCCTTCTGAATGGGGCACTGGATCCCCGACTTGCATCCATCAGGCTCAGGAATGGGAAAGGGGATGTCCACGTGCAGCATCTCACCGTACACCCTTGCTTTGCTGCCCTGGCTCTCAATCTCTGCAGAACACGGAGAAGTGTGAGCACAGCATCAGAGCAAGGAACCCATTTCTACCTTATACCCTCCCTTCCACGTAGCCTAGAAGCTGTAAGAACACAACTAAGGGACGCTCTTCATCACCGGCCACTTCTTCCCACTCAGAACCCTTTCCAGCCACCCTTCCACATTCCCCTCCACGCAGTAGGACCGAGGGGTCGTCCCCCCCCGCGCAGCCCACCCGGCACCCCAGCTAGGGCGCCGATGCTCACTGCTGGCGAAGGTCACGTTGATGCTGTAGGACGTTCCCTTGTGGAGCAGGCACGGCTGAGTAGGGCACGGACTCACGTTCACCTCCTGGATGCTGCCGTCTATGGAACCTGCAAGGAACAGCCGGGCTTACCGAGCCTTCTCCGCCTGCTGACCCCTCCGCCACCCGCCGCTGCCCGCAGAAACTCACCGCAGTCGACGAAGCGGAGGGGCTCGGCCAGGGCAGTGGCGGCGGCGCCCAGCGCCAGGAGCAGGACGAGCGGGGACGGCACCATGGCGGCAGCGACAGCAGCGGGAGCTGAGCGACGGTGGCTGCAGCTCCGCCGCGGTGTCACATGAGAGCGGCGGCCCCGCCCCGCGGTCAGCTGGGGAGCGCCCCGCCCCGGTGCACGTCCGCTGCCCCGTGCCCTCGGGGGCCGCCTGGGGGTAGGCTGGCAGAGGGTGGCGGGCGCGGGTGCGGCGCTCCGACAGCCAGACCCCGTGCTGGGGTAGACAGGCAGCGCCCAAGGGCAGCAGCTGAGGGACGCGCTCAGGTACAGCCCCGCGATGGGCTGGGGGGCTCCTTCGAGGAAGCCAGCGTAGTAGTCTTACTCGTTACTTACTCCATACCTCATCATCTACATGTCGAAAGCTGAGTAACCCGAGTGCTAAGAGTGACATGTGCTCAGTAACGTGGTGGTTGCTGCTCATACAAGTTAGTCCCGCTTCTCAAAGTTGTGAAATGCCAGAGACCGCCAGCTTTGTGCTGCGGGTGCTGGGACGAGCTAGAGGACAGTTAAGACACTTCAGAAAGCTTTCGAGCCAAGCTAAAGTTTACAGCATTTCACCAGTTTCACATGTTAGCGGCGCTACTCGTAGCAGGGTCATGCCAGGGACACAACAGAGGAAGCACATGAGTGCTGATTTGGTAGGGGCACGGCAGCGCTGACACAGCTTCCCCACCGCAGCAATCTGTCCCAGCCCGCTGTGTGCACACTCAGCCTCAGCTGCGCTGCCAAGTGACTCAGGGGCAAAACTCCCACGCTTTGCTCGGGCTCTCCACCATGGGTGTCACATCAGAAACCCCAGAGGTGCTGAAGGAGTGAGCCAGGCTTGCTCTTGTGCCTCTCTGTTGAGCAGGTTAGTTCTTCAGGAGAGACCCTTTCCTTCAGAAGGGGGAGTAGATTTTTGGGGGTTATTTTCTTTTTTTTTTTTCTGAGTAAGCTTTTGGTTTGCAGAGGCCTCAAGCAAGCAGACCAGAGTGCTTACAGCAGCCCTATCAAACAAAAAATCAACCAAAGACCCTACTAAGACCAAGCCCTGTATTTAAGCCTACCCAGCACTCTTCATAACTGACCCAGATAAAGGCTTTTCCTTGCACACAGGAACTCATGCCCTTAGAACATCTTTCCTTCTCCCTGTCCTTCAAGTCTTACAGCTGGTAAACAAAGCCACCTATCTGACTGCTGGGAACAGGATCACAGTCAGCTCAGAGCAACACCATAAACTCCCGTCACACATTCACAGGATAAGCAGTGTCACACTCGGGAGCAAATTCCACAATGCATTAAATCAGGATGCCTCCCCGTGAAATGGCTCACCATATATCTCTGCTTTGCAGATGTTTTTGCACAGTAGCAGTGGCTGCATAGATACAAGTCTGCAAGAACTAAAAATCATTGAAACTAGGATCAGAATTAACACATCTGTTCCTCCCAGACCTGGACTGATAAAAATAAACTAGTACATGTAAGTTTGTAAAACTACAGCCAAGGCCTTTACATAAGAAAGAAGCAGAAACCTTCTACCCAAGGTTTTTAGCTGGTATCACACATTAAGAGTTTTGCAATAACAGCACTAAAGCATGGGTTCCCCAGGGCAGCATAAGCATCACAGACCAAACAGACCTTGCTTTTAGGCACATGCCCCATCTGACATCTGTTACAAGATGTGGGCCTCCAGGTCACCTTGGAGCCCAACATTTCAACACTCAATTCAGCTGCAGACAGGGTTCTTCTCAGATTAACAACTTCACAGCAAGCTTGCGCTGAAGTCTAGAAATACCAGGAGAAAAGACTAAGCAGGCCAACAGATACATTCTTTCCAGCAAGACAAATACTTGAGTTCTTCATTTTGGTAATCTAAACACCTCTATTACGTGAGGAAAATGTCTAAGGTTCCGCTTCATGAGCTAGCTACACCCGATGAATCCAAATCCCTCTGACAGCATTGCACTTGCAGCTTGGTAAACAGATGGGCTTGCAGGCACTACAGCCGCAGTGAATACAAAAGTCAGGTTCTCAAGAAAATCCACATACAGAGACTAATTAATTTTACTGTTTTCTCAGCCAGAACATACTCCTTTTGCTGCAGGTCATCAGAATTCACATTAAAATGCATCACAAGCCACTCTCGCATTCAACACTACACCAGAGGTTTTATTATCACCTGTTTCTGAAGCGCTGAAACAAGCTCGGTTTTCCACCAAAACAGATACAAGATGATTTAAGCATACACATTGCAGAGGAGAATAGCACAATTCTCAACTCACAGCAAATCTCTTTAACACAGTATGCTTGAGGAGAGCTGAAGGAACTCCCCAAACCCAGATACCACAGACCAGAATAAGAAGGGGAAAACAAAACACAGCCAAACCTAAAAACAGATTACATCAAGCTATTGGGAGCAAGGTGACCAGCAAAATCACAGCCCAGGAAGGAAGAAAACCTGGAGTGCCACTCTGGGTGAGATAAAAACAACCATACCACAAAGCTGACAGGAGGAAAACAACAGTAAGTAATAAGAGGTGCAAAGGCATAGCTGTTCTTAGGTACTCCCACTCCTCCTAGCCACTCAGAAAATCAGCCCCAGCACCTGAGTCACTCCTCAGCATAGTGGATTATGAATTAGATTAAATTAATTGAGGCCAACTGGCCTCTTTCTCATTCTTTCAGTCTGTGGTAACCATTTGAGCAATATCCCGAGTGCCTTGAAACTACCTGTCACACTTCTGACACGGAACACTGGTAAAAATGAAGGTGTTTTCGCTGGTATCACGCACTAGAAAGTAGAGTATCTAGTTTCTGGGGCTATACCTATTATCCAAAAGGTGCTTGGAGTTAATGGAGTCACAACATGAACAAATGCAGTGGGATTGGTCTAATACACTCTACAGGAGAAAGAACGAAAGCCAGTGTGATATGGAAAGCAGGCGCATTTTCCTGCTCTGCTTTTGAGATGCCACATTAATAATAACCAGAGAAACACCCCAATATGCTCTCTTAAAACATAAACTCTTCCAATATGCCCGATGAGGCTTCATCAACCATTGCAGGTACTTGCATTAATACCATCCCCCTTGGACCCTGCCTGTGATACATTCCTGCCTTTATACTAATGTCATTGGAATTGAACCAAGAGGAGGCAAAAGTAAGCAGGTCAAACCAGGTTGTATTTACATGCTCAGGGTGGGAGAAGTAAGCAAAAGCTTATGGTTGCCGGAGCATTGACTTGCGTGAAGCAGGACGGTGAGAAAGAAAGCCGTCACTGTGTCCCGAGGTCCCCTGGCGCCAAGTCAACCCCTCCTGCTGGGATGACTGGTTTTCCTCCACATCCCACGGCATGACTCTCCACAGGCCTGGCCCGGGTTGAGGAGCAGGATCCCTCCCCCAGAACCACATGAGGAAGAAAGAGATAAAGACTTAACTGCGGGTGCACCTGTGAGCGACCAGCCAGACCGCTGTCACATGTCAGATCATCCTGCCCGATAAAGGAGCAAGGCAGGAGAGCCAGGATCAAGGGAAACCACTACAGCCCTGCTGCCCAGGCCCTGTGTTTGCTGCTCAGCTTGTCTAACTCTTCCACCTTGATCCCCCTCCGAGCCTCTGGGTTCCGCTTGGTATAACAACCCAATTCCAGGACAAACACGTTCTACATAGAGTGCTGCGTTATTTATTACTATTTATTTTTGTACTGCTTTATATCCCTCCGTGAGCACTCCTGGTTGTGCGAACAAACACCCGCAAGGACAGACGGCAGCTTCCTGCCTTTGTACAGAGCTCCATCGGTTTCGGGGGCTTTGTCGAGCCAGCAGCCGACCTCCGCACGCAGCGGGACGCGGCTCCGCACGGCGAGGTGGGCCCGGTGGGGCGGCCAGCGCGTTGCCTAGCAACCCCCGCCGGCTCAGCACTTCCGCTTCAGCGGGCGCCATTAGCACCTGGCCGGAAGCAGGGGCGGCGGCAGCCAATGGGAGGGCGGGGGTGGGGCGGTGGGGCGGTGCAGGGGGCAGAATGGCGGCGCCGGGGTGTCTGAGGCGTTGGTGGATGTTGGCTCTGAGCGGCCGGATGAGGTACCGCTCCGTAGTGGCTGTGGGCCTGCTCGGTAACCTCGGCGGACGCCCGGTATCTCCGCTGTGCGGCAGGGGCGGCGACTGTGGGCATGGGGACGGGGCCCGCTTCCATCCCTGGCGGTGTGGCAGGGACCCCTCTGAGGCTCCCCTTTCCTCTCTTCTCCCTGAGGCAGCTGGTGTCCCGCTCCGCTGTGCCGAGGACGAGCGCTGCCAAAGCCCCTGGTGGGCCCTGCCTGTGCAGTTGGGCACCCCCTGCGGTGGGCAGCGTCCTTCTCTCAGCCAGGCCCGACAGAGAGTGAGCCCAGCGAGGGACAGATCTTTCTCAGTGAGAGCTGCGTGAAGGTAGGGACGGTGGGAGGCAGCTCGGGTGTCCCTGGAAGTGGTTTCCGAGCTGTCTGCTCTGTCAGAGGCACGTAGGGGAGGCACCTGAGTGTTCCCTAGTTTGTCAGCAGGTCTTTTAATTCTTGTCCTTTTCTTTGCAGAGGCTGTTGGAGATCACAGAAGGCTCAGAGTTTCTCAGGCTGCAGGTTGAAGGAGGTGGCTGTTCTGGATTTCAGTACAAGTTTTCCTTGGACACAGTTATCAATCCTGATGACAGGCAAGGGCAAAGGGGTGTAGTGGTGGGCAGGTGTGACTGTTCTTCCCAAAGGTGACAAGAAGGGTGTGCATGACATGGATAGTATCTTGTGCAGAAGGGAAGAAAACTGTGAGATAAAGAAAGTGCTCGGGCTGTGCTTCTCTGTTGGATCTGTAGCACAGCTAATGGTTAAATATTCTGCTTTTCTGTAGGGTATTTGAACAAGGTGGTGCCCGCGTGGTTGTGGATGTGGACAGCCTGGCCTTTGTGAAAGGTTCCATGGTGGACTTCAGCCAGGAGCTGATTCGCAGCTCCTTCCAGGTGGTGAGCAACCCCCAGGCAGAGAAAGGTTGCTCATGTGGGACTTCCTTCTCTGTCAAATTCTGATCAGAGTTCCCATGGACGGACACAATCTTCAGACACTTCCTGGCAGTCTTCAGAGGTTTTTTGCTCATTCTTTTCCCAGCTGCTTCCTCTCATCTCCCTTACCCTGTAACACAGCTGTTAGAGATGACTCCAGCTGTGTGTGTCTGCATTCAGCCTATCTCCAAGACTTGTTGGTCTTTCCTTCAGAAACATGAAGTAGCTCTGAGCATCCACGTGGGAGCATTTTCAGCACCTTGTGAACCACCCTCCAGGTGGTGCTGACTTGCCTACCCTGTCCTGAGCGTGGAACCACTGCACTGCTTATCTCTGCAAGGGATGGCTCTATATATATATAATATATATCTGTGCATGTGTGTCAACTGAAAGTTCTTACTAAAGAAATTCTTTGAGATTGATGGGTATTGCTTGTACATTCCCATGTGTTGAGAATCTGGATTCTTTCAGGGTACTCTTGCTTATCTGTTGTCTTCCAGCCAAATGGGTCTCAGAGTTTCTCTCTTGTATACTGTCCAGTGTTGCCAAGTCTCCAGTCCCCTACAGTGGGCTTTTCCAGATACTTTGCTGGTTTCTTACCCAGCAGGCTTCTCTTAGTCCCAGGAAGCTACAGTGTTTTTGCTGTCAATCCCTGGAATGAAAGCTTTTACTTAGAGTAAGCAAAGCTGAAAAATGGAGGTAGGAAGAATTAACATCTTATTAATTTTATATAAAAAGTAACTTCTGTGTATTTATATATATATAAAAATATGTGTGTATATATGTATAAAAAAACAAAACACACAGCCCTCCATCCCCCAATCCCCCACTGCTATTTTAGGCTGTTCCTAAGTCACACAGAATCTCTGGTTTCCACATGTGTCTGGTGCCTTCCCTTATCAGCAGGAAGGGAAGGTCAGGTGACCCAGGCAGAGGAGGATCTGGAGTACTACTTAGTGGTCCTCAAGTCCTTTTGACTTAGTTGTCTGGGAATCTTTGCTTCATTGTTTAATCTCTGTCTAACTTGTGCCTGGTTTGATGAAAGAATAAAATGTCTTCTTTTCTGAAACTGCCATGGAATGGGTAATCTAGAAGTTTCCAGGATAACATCCTTTTGATTAGTTGTTTTCTGTAGATTTTTATCTACCACTAGATGTCTTTTAAATTGGAATGATTCACCTGCTTCTGGGTGAGAGATGGGGAAGCTATTTTTTTCACCTGTCTTGTGTTTTAGTTGATCATAACCAAATTGTCTAAGACTCGAGTCTCTCACATGAGTGTGGGAGCACTGCATGACTTTGATCTCAAGGAAACTGCTTATGGGAAACAGCTTTTTAAGACTCTGTGCCACAGGTGTTTTTGTTGTTAAGCTTCCAAAACACCTTTCTCAACTAATCAGCATTGCCTATGTACAGCACTGATTTGCCTAGTGATTTTTAGTAATCAGAGAATTCAGTCAGCTAGCTTCAGTTTCATCTGTAGATGTTATGGGAGTTCATATATGATCTGCTGTGGCTTCATCCCATGAAGAATATGGATGGGATTTGGAACAGCAGCTCTTTTGATTTAGGTCTTTCCATTTCTTGCAGTCAACAAGATCTACGTAGCTATGTTGCTGTCAGAGGGGGCTGGATGTATACTGTGCTATTTTGTAAAAGGGAATAAAAGGATGTGATTAAAAAAACTTCTCTAACCTTTTTCAGGATGTTTTGGCCAGAACTGCCTTTGAGAAGTGTAAGACCTAAAAGCTTGTGTGGGTAGAAGACAATAAGTAAACTCAATTTCTTTCAGCTGGGATAACTGAGCAATTAAATTTGGCAGGAGGAATTGCTTTCTGAAACAGGAAGTTTAGATCCATTCTTGATCCATTTCATACAGTCTGACCTTAGGCAAGAGTATTTTGGGATCTTTTAAAGAAAAGTGCATCAGTAACGCTGGGGAAGTAGCAAACCAGCAGCTATCAAGGCTTCTTTCCCCTAAACTAAAGCCTGCCTTCAGCCCCTGTAAAATCTGCCATGTGTATTCAACCTAGCTGTATTCAAACTCCCTTCACTTACTCTACGCTAATGAAGTAAATCAGGCAAGTTCTGTTCATGTCTAGTGTCACCTCTTTCAGAGAATTTGCCTCTCCCTCCCAGGGACTATACAGAGCTTGAGGCTTTGGGTCCCAACCCCTGCCACCGGCAGTGTTGCTGGGATTGGCCGGCAAGCTTGTATGTGTGGCTTGCTCTGCGTGCGGTTCTGGCAGTACTTCTCTAGCTGCGCTAGGTGGACCCCTTACTCCTTGGGAGTTGCTGAACTGGGCGTACACGAGTATTTCGACATATATCTGGGATGAGGTTGTATCTGCTCCATGCAGGACCTAGGCGAAAGTTTCTTTGCAGCTGCCTGTTTTGGAGACGGGAGCTGAGTTTGTCTGGTCTCTAGATCAGAGAAACTGCTAGGAGCTGGAGAGGTTCTAGCTATGCAACCCATTTCTCTTGGCCTCCTAGTGCTACTTTATGGGAGCAGCTGTAATGTACTGGCTAGAGCTATTAGCCTCCCAGTTCCCAGTAGTGAATGGGTGCAAAGGGCTGTGTGTCACCTCCAGAGTCCTCCTGACTCAGTCTGTCAGTACATGGAATACTGAAAACTTGTGTCCATGTTAGGAAGTCAGCAAAGTGTGTCCTGTTAGCAGAGGGGGATGAAAGCAACCTGGGCGAATTTTTCCTGTGCATGCAGAAAATGCTAGATCTGGTTCCTGTGGAAGAAAAAAAAAAAAAAAACAACCTGTTTAGGTTTGTACACTGAAGGATGCAGTGATGGCACCACACTGTAGGCTGTGGAGCAAGACCAGTGGTTCCAAAAGAAGGGTGCGGAGGATTAGATGGAATTTGGCCCTGCCTGGGCTATGAGGGACTGCCAAGGCATGCCTGTGAGGGGTCTGCAGTGCGGGGATAGGTGGGAGCCCTTATACTGAAAAAAACAAATACCAGGAGTACAGAGCTGGAGGTGCCGCCTTCTCTTCATGGCAGATGAGAAACTGCAGCAGAAAATCTTTTTCTGCTCCCACATGAAGGAGGATTCTCTCAGTTCACCCACCTGACAAGGAATGAATGATCAAGAAAGGTTTCCATAAATACCTCTATGTTAGGATGAAACTTCAAGGGAAAAGGGCAAAAATTATCAGTGGCACTGACAAGCGGGTAGAAGATGGAATAGAAATCCTCACTTTGGTGAGGGCTTGTTAGAGCTCTGCAAGGACTTGTTAGTAAAGGACCAGCACGTCTTCAGCCTGTGATTCTGGATCTGTTTTTCAGGTCAGGTATCTACCATTACCTGTGGGTCTCTCTTTTTAGGCTTCAAGCCAAGCAGTGGTAGAGAAATCACAGATTTTGTCGTGCCCCTTTTCCTGTATAGGGATATGTATGAGAATGCTGTGCTTGGAGGGCTTCTGTGTGGTATTCCTTGCTATGGCAATTTTTAGGGCACTTATTTTAGGGCAAGTGGCTCCTATAAGACCAAGGGCCAGACTAAGCTGGATGTTAGGGGAACAAGTGTCCCTCTCACCACCGTGTTTTCACCTGCAAAATTTCATTAAGTTCAGTCCTTTCTCTTGTGAAATTGCATCTGTACAGAACTGTTGGGTGAGTCAGTACAGCAGCTGGGGTGAGGAGCCAATACCCCCCAGATGACACCCACTGAGGCTTCTGCTTCCCCACGCAGTACTGCATTTCCTGCTGCTGTGGGGCTTGCCTGAATGTATCAGCTGGGGGAGGAATCACTGAGTGGTGGAGGAGGCAATGACAGTAAGGCATAAGTGCATTAAAGGAAGCCTCTCTTGTCTGTGTCCCATGCTGTGAAGGCAAATGCTTTTGTATCCAAAATGTCTTCAGCCTTGTAAGCGTTTTGAACATCCACTGGCAGCTGGAAGTAAAAAGCCAGAATTGTATAGACACCACTATTCACACCATTAGGTGGGACTGTTCAGAGGAGTTAACTGAATTCATAGCAAGCATACTGTATTTCCAGGATGAGCTGCTACAATATATGCTGGAGGACCAAGCTGCACAGTCCTCACTAACAAACACAGTAGTCTGGTTCATTAGCAGAGTGTGATAGCATGTGCACCATTCCGATTCTTCATTCTCTTTGCCTGTTTTCCTATACACTAGTAAAGCTCTCACCCAGCTTCTCTGGAATGGGCTGTAGCTGCTGGAGAGGCTGGCAGCAGAGAAAAGGATAACCTTGTGTAATCGTGTGTTTGATACAACTATCAGCCAGCCTGAAAATAGAACCCTGATTCAAGGAGATCAAGCATTGGCAAGGGCAAGCTGCAGACACCTGTATTGTATCAAACTCTTACATTTGGGTCTTGCTTTTCTGTTTTTAAGGGGATGAGTCCTTGAACCAAACACTGTTAGGGGCTAGGTATAGGATTAATGGTGCAGTTTGGATCTTGCTGGGTTCTGAGGAATATGTTTGCTCTGCATGGTTCCCAGGATTAGGCTGCAACTGGCTTTGATCTGTGCAGATACCTGTCCAGGAAACAGCTCAATAGATCACGGACTTGGGGTGGGTTTAGTATCCAGCTGTGGACAGAAATGCCATGGTGAGGCAGCTGAAGCTGTTCATGACAGCAAGATGGGCCATCACTCCAAGACTGATTCTCCGCCCTGTGGGGAGCAGTTTGTACACAGAGCTTCCTGCCTCTGGCCTTCCCAGCACTTGTATGGTCTTAATATTTCCTGCTTGAGCAGTAAGAGTTTATGGCCCTAGTCTTTGTGGTTGATTAGAGCCCAAGTTTGTGCCCCTGTTTTAATCAGTGCTCATTTACCTTTGGCATTCTTCAGAGGAGCAGAATGGTATGTCTTTCAGTTGCCATGGAAACAGTGAGACTAAATGCATATTTCCATGGCAACCTGCCATTATCTTCAGCTCTATCTGTGGGTCTCATTTTCTGACCATGGGGGTGGGGTGGTGAAAATGGAGCTTCATCTCGTAAAAAAACTAAAAACAAACAAACAAAAAAAAAAACAAAAACATGAAAAGAAAGATGCCACCACTACCACAGCCATCACCACTCCTTTTTTTCCTCTGGTTTAGGCCTGGGGCTCAGAGAGGCCTGTGACTACTGCCATCATCCCATGCTCTGGGCTTCCAAGGTATTGTCTTCAGCTTCTTCTCTCCATCCTTCTAAAAATAGAGACGTTCAGAACAATTTGATGACAATGTTCCAGCACTGCTCTG